CATTCTTATCTTATCCGGTTCATTTGCGTTTCGGCAGCTGAGGATGATGGTTCGGTAAAACCATCGAAACGAGCCCTGTGAAATTTGCAAATTTTGACTTCTAAATTAATGCTTGTTCGGCGTGTTCGTTCTTATTTTAATTATCTTAACATAAGCACCTTCAATCGAAATCGAGGGCTTTCAAATAAGCAACCACCCCGTTTTGCATTAGAAGTCACAAAATATGTGAAGTTGAATATTAGTAGAATTTTCGTGTTTACTTCGTATCTTTTCTGAATGAGCAACTTCATCAAGTTATACGGCATTTTCACCCTCCTTTCCGCATACCATCGTGGTGTAACTGAAAGCGGTTTCGGGTGGTTCCGTACTTCTAATCCCGGCGAGGGTACTGCATATTTTTCACGTTCAATCAATATAATCTGACGACTCTACGAAGTTGTTAATTTTACAGCACCAATGTTCAATTTTATCCTTTTTCTGGTAGCACTGGTTTAAAAGGGAGGATTTCTAGAAAAAACAGTTCCGCGAAGTCCCGCTTAGCTACGGAAACTATGTCCCGGCTGTGCGGGATATTTTGAAACTTTGCCGAAAATGTTCCGTCTACAGCTTTGTCCCGGGTAGAGATCAACCAATCAGACGAAAGTTATGCTTCTGAAGGATCGCGTGATCCCAAACTGAGGGATAATCGATTACGGTTTGATTTCAAATCTGTTTACTAAGTAAAAATCTTAACCTAGTTACGCAGATTTCGTGGAAATGTGCAGATTCTGAGAAATGGCCCTTTCGATATCTAGTCCCGCCTAGTGGAAACACATCCGTTTGTTTCGGAAGAACAACCGTTTGGAAGACTTTTTCTGCTTTGTCACAACAGCCAATCACCACAGATCACTTTGGGGTTAACATGTTAAGAGGAAACTGGTTCTCCATTACAAATAAGCTAATAGCATTCGAAGCTACCAGCTGATTGATTGAAAACGAACAAGTTGCAATTTTTTTTCGATAGGGAGAGAAAATTCGCAAGTCTTTTTTACAATTGTAAACCAGGCAGAAAAACTGTCCGTTTCATAGAAACTGTTGTTCCTATGAAACAAATGCATGTGTGATATGGGCCTTATAGCCATCTCAAAGCTGAAGAGTTGTTTTAACATTTTCAAGTTTTGACACATCTCAAAGTTAAAGTACAAGGGGGTTTTGTTCCTGAGGGACTATTGTTTTCGTTTTGGCATTTTGCGGTGAAATCTCTAAAAGTTGTATCACTTTTCAAACTGTTGCCTCCAAATATTATCGCTCTGTATTGTATTTGAAGGAATTAAGTAATGAAGAATCTGCATAAATGTAAATATGTTTCTCGCATTGTGATAAAACAACGGTACCTAGAATCATCCAATTTTGAATGGCATAATCCTACTGCGAGTATGGGCATCTGGAAGCCCAAATTTGAAATTTGGAATCAGCTTTATTATCAGTTTAATATTTTTTGAAACTTTAACGAATTTCTGATTAACAAACTAAATGATTTCAAAGAGATCAATGGCAACGTTGTACAGAAAAAGTATCCTTATCTCCAGCGCGAGAGACTGTGTATGGGAAATTCTTAAGGTAGGCTCAATTTAAAATTATTTTGCGATATTGCTCTTGAACTGAATTTTAAGGTTTAAGTACAAAGACCATAATATTTAATGAATAAAGGTAACACAAAAAATGTTAAAACAAGGTCCCTTTGGACGTAATTTAAAACCTGAAACCTTTCAGATTTCTATTTAATTATTTTTAAAATGTGTATTTTTAATATTTTTAATTTATTTATTTATTTATTTATTTTTTTTTTTTTTTTTTTTTTATTTTTTTTTTTTTTTTTTTGAAAAATGTTTAATCGTAACTTATAAAATTTTTACCATCGTCTTAAAGTAGACGTGTTTCTAAGCATACCTGCAAAAAATTAAAGTTTTTTTTATTCAAACGTTCCTAGGATATACGTGAATTTACATATTGGCGCGTTTGGAAATTTAGCATATTTGCTATAAGCGATAAGAACGGCACGAACGCCAAATGTGGCGTTCTTAGCGTAATATTACAGTTGCGCACTTTATTAAATTTACATGAATAATGAACGATGACTTTTCCCCCGCTCATTGACAATGAAAAAAACGAAAGGAAAATAGATTGCTATAAATTAAGAAGTTCGCCAAGCATAATTTGCTTGCAAACTGAAAAAAAAATGCTTCAAGATAAATTTTTCAATTTCTCCATACATTTCGCGCCAAAGTTTACAAAATTTAATATTTAGGTATGATTCGAATCGTAGAATCGAAATATGGGAAAACATTGGCATGTCATCTCAGAAAAAGTCCGATTTTTGTGTCAAAATACTTATGCTAGAACAATGGTATATATATCTAATATGTATCCTAAGTCGCGCTTTCGAGACATGAAAACCGCAGTTTGAATTTCGTCAGTTGGCCCAGCAGAACGAGAGATATAGAACTGTCATCTTTTTTTTTTCTTCCCCCACCCCCCACCCGCAGTGTACATGTTGCAGTTAGGGGCAGTTGCGTATTCTATTAGGTTATGAGGTTACCCTTTGTCTAATCTCGCTACTTCAGTCCTATAACCCTAAGAGATGCGCAGCAAGTTATCCTTAAGTCTGAGGTAGAACGACAAAGGTTTTGAAATAGCCTTTTTAGTTAAACAGAACCTTGAACATAAAGGCTGAGCTTCTTGTGATTTATCCTACCCATTATAACAAACTGTATTTGGGAATTCGTAACATACGTTAGACCAATTTTAGATGCCTAATTTTCTGATTTTCGATGTAAACTTATCTTCCCTGTATACTATACAAAAAAGTGTATTACACCTCATATCCTTTTGCGGTGGATTGTTTCAGACCGCACGTTTTCTTTTCGTACCGAAACTTTCTTGGCTTTCCTTATAGAAATCTACTTTTTACGCAGACCTGTTTCTCTTCATTGGAAGATGTCATTTATCCGCTAATAATGTCCTTTTGCAGGAATCCATTAGTGCATGACACATTATCCGGTTTATTTCGGTGGTAGTCTTGAAGTATGGACATAATCCTCACTCGTTTTCTCACGAGAGAGCTTCACATGCACTCATTGAAAGCATCTTATTCCACCTAAATATACGTAGGATTAGTTAAGAAGATCGTTTCGGATCTGAGTGTTGTCTCATCTAGGTCCAAGATGAGCGGTTTTTTTGCAAGGATATACTACATCTTACAACAGTATAGCGCAATATCCCGTAAGACTGCGTAGGGATAATCACTTTATTTCTGTTGGGAGTGTTTCTGGTATAAGTTTTATTTTTCATGAATGTTATAAATGCGTTACTTAATTGATTTTCCAACTCTGCTCTTTTATTGTTAGGAAGTATTGTAATCACGAAAATTTCCGTTACCATATTTCAACGAAAATATCCGTTTTGACCGCTATCGAATGCAATTTAACGATGGTTTTGCGTGAGATCTATACGTAAGGACAGAATAAAGGACTCTTCTTCTCCAAACGAACTATAAAACTGATTTCAAATGGATTCAAAAGATTTTTTCGAAGAATAAAGGACTCTTCTTCCCCAAACAAACTATAAAACTGATTTCAAATGGATTCAAAAGATTTTTTCGTGGCGTCTGTACGTATGTATGTATGTATCTCACAAAACTCAAAAACGAATAGGCTCAGCACGTTGAAATTTTGTACACGGAACTATTGTAATTTTGTACGCAGAACTATTGTAATCGATTTGGTTGCAATCGGCCCCACCAAAAGCATATAAGTATATGTATATATAAATATATATATATATATATATACATTCTGTTACTTGGCTGAGCTCAGTTTCATTATTCTTATATGTTTGAAAATTGTGCATTTTTTGCTTTAAAAATAATTGAATTATATAAGTCTTATCTTCCTTTTAAGGTTTTCGTGCCTTTAGTGAACCTGCATGTTTTAGTTGTACAATATCAGAAATTCAAAAGTTGTTTAAATGCGGCTAAGCCTAATTTATGTTTACCATCGCAACCATACTTTTTTATATTTGAAACTTAGCAAAGTGGATCTGTGGTTCCTTAGTGGATCTGTTGCCAATCTAGAGAAACTAAGCTTCACAACAACAAAGTAACGTCTTTGTAAAATGTTAGCAATAATAAAGGAGGGTCAAGGTAACCGGCTTTTATTATTGCGAATTATATCACGCTTAATCCATACTAGAATTATCATTTAAGTTATTAAAATATCTCTATATTGACTCAGCATAGCTTCCACAACAAATTAATTCCGTTTCTACGCCTTTTGTGTCTTTTTGTCGAATGAGACCAAAAACAAACTTTCCGTTTGGTGCACCGAAAAATATCCTTCTTGCCCGTTGGCTGAATTACTTGTTTCCGCGTGGAAACTGTGATTTTAATTGTAAAAATTGTTTTTAATCCAAAGGGGTTTGGCCCCTGAAGGACTATTGTTTTCGTTTTGCCATTTTGCGTCGATTCACAACAAGCGGCGAATCAGTTTTCAAACTGCTGCCGCAAAATATTATCTTCCTGTGTTATATTTAAAGAAATTAAATCATGAAAAATCTGCATTAAATGTATGTATATTTCTCGCATTGTGATGAAACAACGGTACATAGAGCCATCGAATTTTGAAGGACGTCATCTTCCTACGAATACGGGCATGTGGAAGATTAAATTTGGAATTTTTTTTTTTTTTATCGATTTTCTATTTTGTAAAACTTTAACGAATTTTTGATTAACAAACTCAAGGATTTCAAAGCGAGCGTCCTGTTTTTGCCGCGATGTTTTCGACTGCAACCGTTTGCGAACATACAAGACCTAACACATGCACTGATAGTTTAGTTTTATTTTGCTGAATGGTATCTACTGTCTAGTATTAATGCATGCAAACCATTCTTTCTCGATAAAGTGCCTGCAATATATTGGGTATAAATGTCTTTCTGTGTCTAATGCATTTGAAAATTTTCCGCAGGTATCACAGGGGCGTGGATGCATATCGACGAGAACGGAGATGTCGAAGGAAACTACACTGTCCTTTCCCTCCAGAAATCTCCCCAAAACTTGACATTAAAAGGTTTCAGTGGCGAGAAGAATCTGACGCATATTATGTTACCCATGGGTCGGTTCCAGTACGATGAGCAAACTCATGAGCCGGTAAGATCATAATATATTACTAACCCTTTGCGGCACAGAGTGTCCGGTCTGGACACACCTAAAAATTTCCTTCTGTACGCACAGAAAAATTGAATGAAAAAGGATTTATAGGTTACTATAGGTTAATCTGAACCTTCTTTATTTATAGTACATGGCAGCTCAACACAAACCATTTCATGCATATCTTTTAGCCTTGTTTAGTTTTTTTAAGACCCTCATTTTTCAAAGATATCTTCCAGAATTTTTTTAGGGTATAAAAGGAATTGTTTGAAAAGAAATTTCCATGTTATGTTTTTGGCTGTATGTTAATCTCCTTATTATTCTATATTAGTTTAAAATTTTTACTTTGAAATCTTGCCTAAAATGAAACGGCGAACCCTAGGTGTGCCCAGACCGGGCTCACCGATCATCTAGAACAACTCAGAGTCTGTATTCTTTGTTTCTCCGCATCTCATCTGTCAGTTCATTGACAACAATGCTCGTTTCAGTACACTTTTCGAAGCTATATTCAATCAGTGTGCCTACTTTGGGCACACCCACAGAATTAAAACGATAAGTGCTATCTTCACAAAATTTTACTTGTATACTCCTCTAGGTCTAATTAGACTACCTTTTTTTTTATCAAAATTCCAACTTTAGAAGGTAGTGTGCCGGAAAGGGTTAAACAAATATTTATTTCAGAACTGTAACTTTTAGACTGTCCCAAAGGTAGTGCAGGATTTATATTTACAGAACAAATCGGTATTTATGCTTGAACTGACAAATCTGAGACATAGTTTGAAACACCAAATACTAAAGAAATAATATCTGGCAAATGTTCTCCGCGTATCTTCCACTCGCGCCTTCTTAACACGTCCTTCACAAATATCAAAAGTCACACGGTCTTAAGATCACATGATTTTGATGGCCAGTTATTTTCACTGTCACCTGAAGTTAGCCGTCCATTAAATTTCTGCTATCGCAACTCAGTAACATAGCGCCGCATGACATGTGATTTTACATATACTGGTGTGCAAAATTTAAGTATTTTTTCTGATAGGAGACCGAAGAGACAGCCAACAGTTATCATATTTTATATCCTAAAACGTAACGTTTTATTTCGATTTTTAAATGCATATAAATTATTTCGAATGTTCTTTCTTTCTTTCCCACGGAACTGATACTTTTGACGTATACTTTTCTTGAGTTATTCATTTTCTCCCTCCATCCAGCAGCCTTCGTAGTGTAATTGAAAGCACACTCGGTGCGTATTCTAGAGGTCCAGGTTCGAGTCTCGGCGAGGGCACTGCACATTTCTTCAAATTCCCGAAATCGAAAATAACATAATGGCTCTACAGTGGCGCCCGAACTGACATAAAGTCACTTCATTGTTTAATCTACCTTATAATAACACCTTTCCTTTAGAATTCGCACTGCTTCTGCTTCTGAGTGTTGCTTTCATACGAAAATACTTGTTGAATGAAAGTTGGAAATAAAATTAAAATAATCATTTTAATTAGAAGATTAAACTTCGAGCCTTCTTTGTAAAAATGGGGCTAAGGAACCTTTACGAGAGAGTGTGTCTTTTCCAATATAAATCGGATATTATGTTTACATTTGTGATGTAGTCTGCAAAAAAATTGCATATTTTATTTGTAATAAGAAAATAACAGTTCCAGAAGAATACAATTTACGTCGTCCCAGTTAAGTAAAAACCCGATGGACATCTATAATCCATGATGAAGAGAATTCCCTGTAATGTTTCTCCAGGGCTACAAAAGTTAACAGATATGAAACGTCAGTAACTCGTAGTAAAACCTACAGAAGTTTCCAAGAAAGCTTTCGTAATTTGTTTATTTTTGCTTTTAGTGATAAATGCAGTGGTTAATTCGAATTATATGAACCAAGTATTAATCTGGAAATTAATATTTATCTGTTGATACGTTTGAATTACAACACGTAACCAACAGACATTTCCTTGAGCCTTTAGATTTCAGATAGGAATTAAATATAAATTTTAATTTTTAGCATAGCGTTGTTATTATTGTTGTTTATATAAGTTTTGACAAATTTTTAGAAAGCATCATTTTAAATTTATTAGCCAAAAGAGCTATTAATTTCGTTTTGGCGTTTTGCGTCGAAATCTTTAAAAGTCTGAATCACTTTTCAAATTGTTGCCACCAAATATTAACGCCGTGTATTATATTTAAAGAAATCAAATAATGAAAATCTGCATTAAATGTATGTATGTTTCTCGCGTTGTGATAAAACAACGGTACCTAGAGCCATTAAATTTTGAGTGACGTATACGTCTCCACCGGAATATGCGCATTTAAAAAGAAGCCCGAATTTGGAATTTGTTTTATTATCTATTTCTTATTTTCTAAAGCATTTATGAGTTTTTGATTAACAAACTCAAAATTTCGTTGATTTCAAAGCGAGCAATGGCAACACTGTACGAATACCAATTTTTATCTCCTGCACTTGAGACTGTGTATCGGAAATTCTAAAAACATGCTCTTTTTAAATTATTTTGAGATGTTGCTGTTGAATTAAATTTTATGGTTTAAGTGCGAAGAACATTATATTTAATAAAGGTAACACACAAAGTTTTAAAAAACATCCCTTTGGGTGTAATATAAAATCTAAAAACTTTCACATATTTTTTTAAATTTTATTACTAAAAAATTTTATTTTGTTTAAAAAAAATCCCATTTTATTATTGAAAAAACGTTGCTTCCCATCAACTGCTTTCAGATTCCGCATGGAAGTTGGATTTGAGGCTCGCCGTATGAAATGGGGACTCGCAACACCACTTTTAACTGAAAAATGGCAATGTGCTAGGTTGTGTAAATTTTAAATCATAGATCCCATGCTTTGTGGAATGACAACATTTGCCAGACTGCGTGGATGATAAATCTCTTTATACAATGGTAACAAAAACAAAACAAAAAAAAATCTGTTAAGAATGTGCATAACATTAAGACTATGTACGAAAGGTTTTCTATGAAAATAAGTAAACGTATAGACATAATTTTCATTTTACTAAAATAAAAAATACTAATAAATTATCAAGATTTAAATTTAAAAAAATCTGAAAGGTTTCAGATTTTTAACTGTCGCCCAAAAGATTTGTTAAGGTTTACGCTCTGGCTAAGCTCACAGTCTACCATTCTGCTTTTGCACACACTCCTGCTAACCCCTTTTCTTTTATCTTTTTAGTTTTATTATTAAGCATCGTTTCCTTCGAAGTTACGCCATATACAATTCAATAGTGAAGTCAAAAAATTTTAAAAGAAGCATATGTTTAGAATCTCCAATACAGAATTCCCAAACGTTGGCATACATTTTACTATTTTTTTCAGTCTTTTCTCAGTTCATTACATCAATGTTCAATTTTCTAAGATGTCTTACATAGAAAACAAAACTTACAAAACATTTTTCTGTCATTTTACTATTAACGTTTTATATGTTAACTCTGTTTATTAAATGTCGCGTTCTTCGTTCGCACTTAACCACACAAAATTCAATTCAATGGCAAAATGGAAAAAACTTAAAAACAGTATACTTTTAGAATTTTCGACAGACAGTTTCATGCGCTGGAGATAAACAAAATGCTTTATTCTGTAGAGTGTTGATAGTCCTTGCTTTCGAATCGTTGATTTTGTAAATCAAAAATTCATTAAAGTTTTACAAAATATGAAATAAAAAATATATGTATAACGTCATTCTGTGAAACTATTGAATATTTTTAACTAGGCAGACCACGTATTAATGCATATTTATTATTTTAAATTAATTCGATTCGAAAGTAAGGAACGAATTTTCTTAAGAACTGCATCTATTGCTTTTTGTTAATCCACAGCAGCCATATTCAATCTGAAAGATAAACATCTTACATTTTGCCGAATGGCAATAGACTGGAACAAAATGTGAAACGACGGATTTATACTAACTCGACGCAAATTCTCATTTCGTTTTATTTGTTTCATTATGGATTTCATATTTTGTAACACTTTAACGAATTTTTGATTACGAAACTCAACGATTTCAATACGAGCAATGACAACACCGTACGAAAAAAAAAATTATATCTAGGGCGCGAGACTGTGTATCGGAAATCCTAAAGATATGCTGATTTAAAAATTATTTTTCGATATGGCTGTTGAACTTAATTTTATGATTTAAATGCGAAGAATGTGATATTTAATAAAGGCAGGGCACAAAACGTTAAGGAAACAGGGATTTACATTACATCATATTTTACATTACTTTTTTTTTTTTTTCCTAATAATTTTCAACTGAAGACGGATAGTTCTTTTCTTGTTAATTTTTAAATGATTTCTTACTTACTTTCAGCTGTTTGGGAACAATCGTAGAACAAGAATTCGTCACTGGGGATTATCAAATTTTAAATCCATTTCCAGATTTTCTGGAGCGTTATGCGTGTTCTTTTTTAATAGTAATAGAAATAATGTAAACCCAGATTACAAATAACTAAACTTTTGAAATCTCTTCGGCATGGTATTTTCAACAATTGCGTAATATATTCACTGGCCACATAAAATTGCTTCGGGGGGGGATACATGCGGCCTACTAATTTTGATTATGATCGATTAAAATTGACCACAGAACATCGATTATTTTTTCAAGTTGTTTCATTTATTTCTGATCAATTTTGATCCTTTTTTTTTTTTTTTTTTTTTTTTTTTTTTCTTTTTTTTTCGCATTTAAGCGATTAAACTTGAATATAGGTGAAATACGCTAGCGGATATTAATGATGTCAGGGTTTTAATTAAAATAACTCATAACAAAATAAAACACCCTCAACCGATTTTGATACATCAAAGATCAAAATTTAGAGAAGGATTACAGCGGTATCGTTCTTTCTGTTATTAGATACATTATTGTCAATCTAAGTTAACTGGCATCGGGTACTTCAGCTAGTTTATTATATTTTCCTTCGAAGCATAAATTAAAGATACCCATTTTTGTATGATAATATAATTACGAACATTCCT